AAAAAAAAAAAAAAAAAAAAAAAAAACCTTTGGGACCAATGCACCCATATTATAGATGGAAGGGAGACAGTGAAGGTGATGTTGCTGCCCCCTTGTGGTTAAAATATGACAGCATCAAATACTACAGCAAAGATACAAAGTTAACACCATCCCAATAGATTTGACCAACAATATACCAAGACACAGGATAGACCACTAACTCAAGGAAGAGCTTGAGTAAATCCCTAAATATTTTAGATTCATATTTGAATTTATTACCAGCATATTCTGTGGCATAGTAAATTCACATTTAGCATTTTCCACATGAAGAAAGAATAGGATATTATAACTAAAGAAGAGATAAAGACTAGAAGAAATGATAAAGATGATAAAATGATAGACTAGGAGAAAATATGAACAGCATATTTTCATATTTCTACTGGATCTAGAAGACAGCCTCTGACAGGGAACCGTGAAGAAGTCATAGCTACAAGGAATTAAAACAGCATTAGATTTTTTTAATGCTCACAAAATTTAGTGTTCACACAACACACACACACACACACACACAAAATGGAGAGCAACAGAGGCACTGATTTGACTGGATCAACAGCAGAGTGTTCCAGATTACAAATAGAAAAAGTCTACTAGGTATGTGGGCCACAAAACATAGAACATAAGATGTCAGCTGATGAAGAAAGAATCACTGATTTCATAAGTATATGACTAATAGCAGGAAATAATTTAGTTTTTAACTTTTACAGAAGGCAGATATGGGTGAAATTCCCTTGACAATTGATGTGGCTTTAAACAAGATAATGAACTCCAAAGGTGCAAAAATTCAAGACTGTTTCGACTTGTGCATATGAAAAAAGCTCACTTCGCGACAGTATTAGCATATTGTACTGATGGCATACAACTGCCAACTTTCCTAATTTTTAAAAGATATAACCAAAAAGAAAAAAAGCCTACATTTATGCCTATGCCCATTCAAAACTTGGGAGTATGGGAAAGAAATATAATGAGGTAATTTAAAAATCCCACAGGGGAAACCAGTCCCCCATTAGTCTGGTACCAGTTTCCCTTTTATGACTGTGGCTGTTCAGAAGGCAGCTGAACAA